ATCCTATTTCATAGATATTAAACATTTTACTCAAAGTCTGTCATTGATATATATTTAAGCTGTTTCCTTCATTTTTCTTCTCTCTTTTCGTGCTTAGTTTTAGAAACTGGGTTGCAGTGAGTAATTTTTCGACCATCTTTGCCCACGTAGGCAAGTGTTTCTGTGGGATTAGAGCACTGTGGAACACTGTGTTCATGAATATGTCATTTAAAAAAATTGAACAGAGATTACTAAATTGCTACTAATGAAGACTGTTGCATTTCCACCCTGCCAGTGCTGCATGAAGGTGACTTATCAATCTGACGTTGTCACTGTGTTTGACTTTTTCCAAGGTGTAGGGGAAGAGTAACATTCTATTGTTGGGCTAATGTAAATGTTTGTTGTTGAGAAGGCTGGTTATATTTTCACATGTGTAGCAGAGACATTTCTATTTATTTTTCTGTGATTTGTGCATTCGTGGCTTTTCTCCGAGTTTGCTATTGGATTCTTTGTCTTTTTTAAAGAAATGACAGGAGCTCTTTGATATTACAAATATTACAAATTTCTGTCACATTTGTCAAATTTTTAACCACTTGTCTCACTCCACATCCACTAGGATGGCTCTAATCTAAAAGTCAGATAACAAGTGCTGGTGAGGTTGTAGAGAAAGTGGACCCCCACACACTGCTGGGGGAAATGTGAATGGTGCAGCCACATTGGAAAACCATCTGGTAGTTCCTCAAAAAGTTAAACATAGTTATCATAGGACCCAATAATTCCACTTGTAGGTATATGCCCAAGAGAAATAGAAACACATACACACAAAGACTTGAGAGGAATGATCATAGCAGTATTATCCACAATAGCCAACAGGCAGAAACAACCTGAATGCCCATTAATTGATGAGTGGATAAATAAAATATGGTATATTCATGCACCAGACTAGCATTTGGTTAAAACAAGAAATGAAGTAGTGATACAGGGTACAACATGGAGGAACCTTGAAAACATGCTAAGCGAAAGAAAACAGACACAGATCATGAGTAACTTGGTTTCATTGACATGAAATGACCAGAAGAATTCTGTCTATCGAGAAAGAAACCAGACACAGATGATGAGTAACATGGTTTCGTTGACATGAAATGACCGGAAGAGGTCCATCTACAGGGAAAGCAAGCAGACTGGCGCAGCCTAGGGCCAGAAGAGGATAAGGTTATTGAGGAATGATGTGTAAGACACGCGGAGTTTCTTTCTAGGGAAACAAAATGTTCTAAACTTGATTGTGGTTTGGATATGAATCTGTGAATGCACTAAAAGCCACTGACTTGTATGCTCAAATGGGTGACTCGCATGGCATGTGAGGTACATTTCACTAAATCAATGATAGTCCCTCAATAGTGGAAAACCCATCGTGGCCTCAGATGGGGCAGCCCCAGTCGCTCCCTGCCTGCACCTCCTGATATGCCCTAGGGAGACTCTCCCAGACGGGCCCTTCCTGAAATCTTGATGACCCCAGAGCCATGAGCAAAATCAGGGGCTTCTTAGGAGCAAAGGTTCCTGGGACAGGCAGCACCTGTGGGTCCTAATGACCCCATGGCAAACAAAATGTGTTTTGGTGAGGTGCATGTGGGTGGAGAGCAAGGAGGAGGGCTCCTTCTTCTCCCCGCTCCCCAGGGCCGGAGCTTGGACCCTGGGGCCTCCGGTGGTCAGCCTCAGCCTGAGGCTACCACAGTTCTGCTTCCCTTCAGACATGTGGGTCCACGCCCATGACAGCACATAGCAAACCATTTCCCCCTTTTCCTTTCAACAGGACCCCATCCCCGGAGGAGGTGTAGGGTCACAGGCACCTGTTGTCATGTCCAGACTCGCGAAATTTGCAGTGTTGGACGTGGGAGTCTCTCTGCTTTGCCTTGTGTAACATTCCTGGGCACTTGGTTCTGTTTTGGACACAAGGCGCCAGATAGAAGGCAGGCCAAGGCAGGCGCAGTGAGGTTTCACAACGGCTGGCTGTTTCCAAGTCATTGATGTGTGGCCAGAGAGGAAATGGAGCCTTTTGGGTATACTGTCTGTGGGAACTCTTGGCTTACTTTGAGCCAAAACAACTGTGGACACCGTCCTTTGCTTCTGGATTTCAAAGAGCTATTTCCATAAGAGGGAACTGAACTTTCTGCAAAATATGTTCCAAATGACTTATTCTGTGTTCCCTTTCATCTTTTGACTCTGTGGGTGTGTGTGGCTGGATTTATAACTCCTTAGTCTTCTCCACTGGCTTCTGTGTTTCGAGCCTGCTTAGGATGGGCTCCTAGTCTGAGCACATTTCAACCCAGGGATGCTCAGATCTGACTTTCTGGTTGAAACTCTGTCACGGTCTGGCACGCTTGTGCTGACCTGTGCCTTGTCTTGAAAGGAGAAACATGAATTCTCAAGCATCTGAGTCCTTGAGAGCTTCCTCACTGTCAGCGTGGATGTCCCCAGGGGCAGTGTGGGGTGGGGGTCTGCTCTTCCCTGGAGCCTGGCTTGGGCAGACAGGTGTCAGCACTTGAGGCCACAGACAAGAGGGAGCCTGCGTCCCAGGTGGGAGGAATCAGAAATGGTTACCTGGGATATGGGTAAAGATGGGGAGTGTGTGGCCAGTGGGTCAGGAAGGATGGGTGTGGGCTCTTCTATTCATCCATTCACCATGGTTCACCTCACGGAGGCAACTCAGTACTGTGCAACGTTGCCAGCTGACATGTCTACTCAGTGTGGCTGGTGGTAGCTCCTGTCTGCTGGTGGCTCCCAGCTCCTGGCCAGGCATCTCCCAGAGGGCCTCCTAGTCCATGGTCCCTGAACCTGGCTATTTGGTGCCTTCCCCTGCCTCTAGGATTATGGGGTCAGCTAGTGAGGCCCTGCCAGAAATGGCCATGGAGGTGCTCTCACTTGTGGCTGAGACAGTCAGAAGCACTAGAACATAAAGTCAGCTGGTGTGGCTTAGGGCAGAGGGGCTCTGCATGCAGGTGGTCCCTTGTCAGCCTGTGGCTCTTAGGGTCAGAGATGCCCTCACTTGACAGCATCACAGGGGCTGGCCTTACCTCACAAAGGGGCTGCGGGTGTGGTCAGTCAGCAGGGGCATGGAGCCACAGGACAGAAGTGACCAGAAGTGCAGGCCTCAGCCGCTGCCCTGACCAGACCCAGGGTGGGAACTGCACGTGCTGGGGACAGGAGCAGCCAAGGCGGTGGCAGAAAGTCAGCACTGGTCGTCCTCACGAGGGGTCCTGCCACCTGTGGGCTGGTCAGCTTGAGGCCTGGCAGCCAGGAACGTGGTGAACGTGGATCTGAGGTGGGTCATGGTGTGGCTGTGTCCTGTGTGCCAGAGCGGCCCCCAGTAGGTCCTTAGACGTCTTCCAGAGACACATGCAGAAGGGCTGACACACCAAAACCTGCTGCAGGAAACCTTTCTGTAGCAGAGATGGAAAGAGGTCAGCAGCGGGGTGGAGGCAGGACCCCATGCCTGGAACCTGGGCCCGTGGCAGCCTCATCTCCCGCCTCTCCCTGCAGCCTTGGTCCCCGGAGTGGGGCCTGGCAGGAGTTTGAGCAAGGGGTTCCACAGATGAACCACACATTCCTTCACAGGGCATGTGAGGGTGGAGGGGTCTGCCTGGCCCGGCTGTCCACCCTGACTGGCCTCCTGCACGGCAGAGTTTTTGAGCTGCACTTCTGGGGACAGCATGCCCGGGCCAGAATGGTGTCCCTGGAGGTGACCAAATGGAGGCCGCAAGAATATTCTGGCTGTTTGCACCTCACTTCTATTCAGTGCCATGGGCATCAGATGTGCTTAGTTTTGCTGTCCTGCTCATGAAGTGCCCACTTCGATATCCTCTGCCTTCCACGTGTCTTTCACTAACACAGTTTGTGAATCCTGTGTTTGCTCACTCTGTACTGAGCACACCCAGGCCAGTTTGCCGACATCTTACCAATCACAGCCTGACTTATCCTCTATAGTAGAGCTGGATGTCTTCAAAAGCAAATGTGCATTCCAAGCTCTTACCTCCACAGGCAAGTCTGTTAGAGCTGGCAGGTTATGAGGGAGGGGAGGAGCCGACCTTGAGCAAAGTGTAGGGGAAGGGCAGGTCCTGAGTTAGAGGTGGGGGAGGGGTAGTCCCTGAGCTAGAGGTGAGGGAAGGGCGGGGCATGAGTTAAAGGGCAAAAGGGCAGGCTCTGAGTTAGAGAGGAGTGAAGGGCTGGCCCTGAGCTAGAAGTGGGGAAGGGGTGAGCTCTGAGCTAGAGGTGGGGGAAGGGCAGTCTCTGAGTTACAGGTGGTGGAGTGGTCCCTGAGCTAGAGCTGGGGGAAGAGCAAGCCCTGAGCTAGAGGTGGGGAGGGGCTGAGTGAGCAAGTGGCCTCAAGCCTTCCCATGGCCTCTTCAGGAGTCTCATTTTGCTCCTGTGTAGGGGGCTATGCATGATGCAGCCTCTGGGATCCAGCTGGGATTAAAAGAGAGAACCCGTGAGGTGCTCCTGACCACCCTGGCCTCTGCCCTTTGAGGCTTGGAGGGAGGCTCTGTTTCGCAGGAGGATTGATTCCATCGCAGACCACTGATCTGTTTGATTTCCATGCCCCTCCCTCTCCAGTGTGCGGGTGGGTCTGGAAGTTTCTACCTCCTTTCTCAGAGTCCTTCCCCTACAGCCCGCCCCATCTGAGGCCATCCAGGAACCCTCCAGCTGCCAGTCAGCATAGGCCCAGATGTGGTTGCAGGGCCCCTCTAACCTGACATAAGATGCTCCTCTCAGCCCACAAGCACGGGGGAGTCCCCAAGGGTTCAAGTGCTCTGCGGGAGGCCTGGCAGGGCAGCCAAGGCACATTCCTGCTGTCTGGCAGTATCATCAGGGTTAACAGACATTCCCTCCTTCTGACTCCCAGCAGCACTGAGGACAACAGGTGCAGGGGTCCGTGTGTCTGCAGAGCGCAGGGGCCAGCCATAACACCCCGCACAGCCCTGAAAGAACTGATGGCGTGCAGCCTGTGCCCCCTTGGCCGAGGCGCCATGGTCAGGCTGTGCTGGGCCCTGCTGCTCCTGGCAGCTGCTCTGTCCCTGGCACTGAGAACGAGCCATGCCTGGGACTCGAAGAAGGTGGTGAGGCCATTCCAGGACATCCCTGAGAATTATGTCTACGTGCAGCAGGCGCTGTGGTTCGCCATGAAGGAATACAACAAGGCCAGCAGGGACATGTACAACTTCAGGGTGGTGGAGGTTATGAGGACCCAGGAGCAGGTGGGTGGGCCTCTCCCCTTCCACTCCCTGCCCTTAGTCAGAATGGAACCATTATCCGTAGGGAAGACTGAAGAGTACAGCCCAAAGATTCCTGAAGCCATAGCACACTCATGCTACTTGAGGCATTTTTCCAGAAAATTAATTCTATGTCATCCTTTTTTATTCTGGCATGGACATAGTGCATACATAGCCATTAAAATCACTTAAAAAAAAAGTAGAGGTGAGCACCCAGGAGGCAGCTAGCAGGGGCCAGGTTTGAGGCCATTCACACATTAACGTGAGTCCCAGGGATGGATGACACAGTGAGCCACCAACAACACTGTGAATCCACCGATGCTGGTGTAAACCAGACAGATCAATGACTGAGGCGTCTCCATCATCTTTTCTTGCAAAGTTTTAGGATGCACCTGGGAAGAGAAACACTAACTGTAGTGGTTTCTGTACCTTTTCCTAAATACTCAACTTTGAAAGGGCTCAGTACTTAAAGAGGAAAGGTGGGGCGAGTGATGAGGTGAGTGTACAGTCTTGTGAGGGCACCTGCTCTGCACTCAGTGACTACACTCTGCATATGAAAGGGGGAACAGTCTCAGCAACCTGGATGGACTCAGAGTCTATAATACTGAGTGATCTTTCACAGAAACAAAGAACTGAGTATCACATGTTCTCACTCATAAGTGGACCTTGAGCAACTATTGTAATACCATAAGAAAAAGATTGACAGTAGCGGGAAACTGCGGAGGGGTGGGGGGGCAGGGAGGTGGGATTGGCAGTAGTGGGAAACTGCCTGGGGAAGGAGGGAGCACACCTCATCAACAAGGGTACCTGCATGATGAATATTTGTACACCTAACCCTGAATTGTACCCCACAATTTTAAAATAAAAAATGTAAAGGTAAAAAGGAAAAGAAAGGGGGAACAGTCACATTTCACTGTAAAATGTAAACACAGAGTGGGAAGGAAGAGCCAAGGGAACTCTGCTGCGGGGCTTATCCACAGGGGGATGCACATGTGGAAAGATTTTGGGGCTCCCAAGGAATTTCGGTGTGAACAGTCTGTGTGGGAGACCATCTGGAGATGTGAGGCCCTGCACTGCTGCCGCCAGCCATCTGGGACAAGAGGAAGGCAGTTCTATGAGTGTGTGTCTCAGTTCCCAAGCTCAGTGTACCCCTTGGCATAGTGCATTTGGGGTCCCCAGATGTTGTTTCCTGTCACACTGGAAAAGGAGCCACAGCAGGAGGGAGGCGCCTATTTACAGGCAAATGCCAACTCAGATGGGAAAAAAAAATGGTGTCATGAGAGAATCACACCATTTCCTAGTCACACATTTTGAGCCACCATGGAGCAGCGGAATTTAGGCTTAGCTGCTCATCACTCAAAAGCCAAACTTGAGAGACAAGGGTTGTTGGAAGGAAAACAGGTAGCCAGCGGCCCGAGAGATGGAGGGCTAGTGTCTGAAAGACTATCTCGAGTTTCTCAGGCTGTGATGCCAGGTGGGATATAGCATGGCACTCCTTGAGGTCTTGAATTTGCTGTGGAAAAGAATTTCAGGGCAAATCCAGAGTATAGCTTAAGAAAGAATTTATAAGAAAAAGTCACGCTTAAGAAAGGAATGGGTGCCTTAAGAGAAAGGGCATTTACTTACCTTTGACAAAAGAAGCTTTGCATCTTTTTACAACAATGATTAAGCAAACCATGAGCTGAGAGGGGTGGACTGCAGGTGTCTAATCAGAGTTTTGATGACCATCCCACCACCTTCTATGAGGTAAGAGGGGTGGGCTGTAAATAAGTGTCTGTTCATGAATTTTGATGACCATCTCTCCACCTTCTATGAGCTGAGAGAGGTGGGCTGCAGGTGTCTGGTCATGAGTCTGATGACCATCTCTCCACCTTCTATGAGCTAAGAGGGGTGGGCTGCAAGTGTCTGTTCATGAGTTTTGATGACCATCTCGCCACCTTCTATGAGCTGAGGGGGTGGGCTGCAGGTATCTGGTCATGAGTTTTGATAACCATCTCTCAACTTTCTAAGGTCACAAGTGAAAGTTATTGCCTGACTAGATTTGGTTTTTTTTTCTTTTTTAGATCATCATGTCTGTGTTTTGGGTAACTCACTATTGCTTTTATGATTTCCTGCACAGATAGATCCACATTCCAGCCTGCAAAGTGGTCAGGCAGGTCTGGAGCTCCTGGTTTGTCAAGTACTATAAGAAGATGTCTGAGCGCTTACCCTGTTTTAATTTAGAACTGCCTGCAAGCAACGAATCTATGTCTATACTGCTCTGGCTAACCTTCATCTAGAGGGTTTTTGAAGGGGGAAAGGCTTGGGAAAAGCTTTGTGCAGGAATTGGAAAGCTTCTTTGTCCTTGGTCAGGTCACGGTGTTCTTTTAAGCCTTTTCACAAAACACAGTTACTGCACACACTCCTCTTTTTTCCAGTGTCAGTCTAGATAGCTGCATACTTGTTGTTCCTGTGTTATCTTTTCAGTGTTTCTGAATTATTCTTGCCTACATGCATGCAAGAACAGAGGCCAGAGCCCCCCAAGAATAGAATGGAGTCAACTGTACTAGTCTTGTGCCACAGCTACGTCACGATAGGGGAGGCTGCCGCTGACTTCCAGGGGCAGAGGTAGGGGTGCTGCCAAGCCACCTGCATGGCCCAGGGCTGCCCCAAGCAAAGAAGGGCTAGCCCCAAATGTCAGGAGCACCGAGGTTAAGTGACCTGACACGCAGGCATCAGGAAGTTCCAGGAGTACATTTGGAAGTCGCTGAGTTGGGCAGTGGAAGCGAACACTCAGTCTTTCATCTCCAGCCTGGCTTGTCATCGCTGAGGGTACCACCAGCAGCAGTTTACTCTGTCCTTCCAGACGCTTTCTATACACTCACATACACAACTGAAAATCTTCAGAGTTTATTTTACTTCCATGAACTTTACTTTGTATACTATCTTTCACTTCTTTACCACTTAAAGTATGTCCTGAAAATCTGTTTAAATACTCTTCGATCCACCTCACAGTTTTCATGGTACCCCATGAAATGAGGCTCCGTTATGTTTTCACCCCCTCCTAATGGACCTCCAAGTTTGTTGACAGGAAAAGCAGAACTATGACTGTTCCTCTGCCTACAATGCTATGATACACACCCTGCATTTGGATTCTTTGTTGAGGAGTTGTATTCACAAGAAAATGGCAGGCCAGGCGCAGTGGTTCAAGCCTATAATCTCAAGCCTATAATTGCACTTTGGGAGGCTGAGGCGAGAGGACTGCCTGAGCCCGCAGGTTCTAGACCAGGCTGGGCTACATGGTGAGACCTCATCTCTACAATAAATCAAAAAATTAGCTGGGCATGGTAGCGTGCGCCTGTAGTTCCGGCTACTTGGAAGGCTGAGGTGGAAGGATCACCTGAGCCCAGCAGGTTGAGGCTGAGGTGGCCAGGAGTGTGCCACTGCACTCCAGCCTGAGCAACAGAGTGAGATTACAACTAAAAAAAAAAAAGAGATAATATCAAATTGCCCCTCGAGAAGGATAAACCCACTGAGGTTCTGGGCAATCTGAGCCCCCCTCGCCTCATTCTCACCAGTCGTGATCTCATTTGTCTCTCGGATATTTACCCGTCTGATGGATGCCCATACACAACTTTTTGTATCTCAACTTTTACTGAGTTTATGGGTAATCTGCATCTTTTTCTGTGAATTGCTTTCTTTTCTTCTGCATTGTCTATCTTGTTCTTACAGATGGGTATATATCCTTATGTGCTAATCATATGAATCTCTAGTTTTTACACATTTTGCCAATATTCTGTGCTTGCCTTTCTGTTGTTTATAGTTTAATTTTGCTTACAGTGTCTTTATGATTTTTGAAAAATTGCCATACTATAATTTATCTTTTTCTTCCTATATGTTGTTTTGGGTTTGTGTCATGTTCAGGAAGACTCTTATCATCCTGAATATAACAATTATGTTATAATTCTTCTAGGACACATAACTTTTAGTGCATTAATCTAGCTTGGATTTTTGTGGCTTTTTATTTTTTGGTGTGGGTACTGGATCTAACTTTGAATTTTAAAAATGAAGAGGCAATTTTCCCAACCCTCTTTGAAAAAGAACATTCATGTTTCCAAAAGCCAGCTCACCACAGACTGAAACATTCAAGCATACTTGGATTGGCAGCAGGAGTTGTGATCCTTTTGCCTTGATCTGTTTGTGTGTTCCTGGGCCATGCTGTAGAGATGCTGTTGAGTAGGACAAGTCCTTTGCATTATTCTTTTTAAAACCTTTCAAAAATAAGAATATACATTTCTACTTTCAGACCTTTTTATTGTGAAGTCAACACAAACCCAGAAAAGTTTTCAGAGCATAAATGTCAAGCAGAACAAATTGCTATAAAATGAACACTCATGGAACCATTACTGAATAGTCTAGAAAGAACGTCACAGGCACCCAGGAGTTCTGTGGGTCATCCCGCTGCCCTCCCTAGAAGAGACCTTCAGCATGAACACAGCCTAGCAGGAACCCCCAATTCCACTGCTCTACTTGCTCCTTGGTCTTCTTGCAAATGCAATCCTACATTATGTACTATTTTGGTTCAACTCTTGTCTTTCAATATTATGTTTGTGCATTTTGGCCATGCTGTTACCTGTAGCAATGGTATCTTCCTTATTTTTTCCCCCAAATGTTTTATTTATTTTTGAAAAATGGTTATAGTCAAGGTGTACAACATGACGCTTTGATACACATGTAGGTAGTGGAATGGTAGTCACTGTGGTGGTCCAGCAAGTTAACACATCTGTCACCACATGTGGAGTCTCTTTTAGGAGAGGCAAGAGGCCCCAGATTGGCTCTTTCAGCAAAAACCTCCAATATGATAAAGTCCTACTCCCTGTACTCTCACGGTATGTGTTAGACCAAGCTTGTTCCTCCCACATGTCTGCTACTCTATCCTTTGACCTGCATCCCTCATTTCCTCCAACACCCACCCTGTTCTTTGGGCTGAGTGAAACAAACCACAGAAAGGAAAATACTGCATGATCTCACTTCCGTGGAATCTAAAAAAAATACGATCAATCTTATTACTGTGAAGTATTTCATTCTGTAAGCATACTACAGTGTTTTTCCCCTTCCTATTATTGATCCATACTTGGGGCCTGTTTCTGGTTTTTGACTGTTATGGATAGTGAGACTCTGCATGTACAGACACACCTCAAAGACCTTGTGGGTTCAATTCACCTCCAAACAACCACAATACAGCAGATATTGCAGTAAGGCAAGTCACACAAATATTCTGGTTTCTCAGTGCATAGAAAAGGTGATGTTTATACTACACTGTAAGTGTGCAGTAGCATTATGTCCAAAAAGGTAATGTGTATACCTTAATTAAAACACTTTATCATTAAAAACACTGACAATCATCTGAGCCCCCAGTAAGTCATAGTCTGGAGGGTCCTGCTTCGATTGTGACAGTTGCTTAATGATCAGGGTGGTGCATGCTGAAGGCTGAGGTGGCTTGGCAATTTCTTAAAATAAGACAACAGTGAAGTTTGCTGTAGTGGCTGACTCTTCCTTTCACGAAAGATGTCTCTGTAGGATACGATTCTGTTTGATAGCAGTATACCCCAGTAGGACTTTCAAAATTAGAGTGTGTCCTCTCAAATCCTGACACTGCTTTGTCATCTAAGTTTACAGAATATCCTAAAGGCTTTGTTGTCATTTCAACACTGTACACAGTATCATCACCAGGCATCAGTTCCATCTCAAGAAACCAATTTCTTTGCTCATCTATAGGAAATAACTCCTCATCTGTTCAAGTTTCATCATGAGTGTCCAGCAATTCAGTCCCACCTTTGGGCTCCACTCCTAATTCTGGTTCTCTTGCTATTTCCACCACATCTGCGGTGACTTCCTCCACGAAAGTCTTGGACCCCTCAAAGTCATCCAGGAAAGTTGGAATCAACTTCCAAACTCCTATGAACATTGATATTTTGACCTCCTCCTATGAATCTTGAATATTCTTAAAGGCATCTAGAATGTTGAATCCTTTCTAGAAGGTTTTCAATGGACTTTGCCAGATTAATCAGAGGAATTAATATCTAACTATAGCCTTACAAAATGAATTTCTTAAATAATAAGACTTGGAAGTCTGAATTACTCCTTGATCCATGAGCTGCAGAATGGATGCTGTGTTAACAGACATGAAAGCAACGACCTTCTGGGCTCAAGGAATTCTTCCACCTCAGCCTTCCAAGTGGCTGGAACTACAGGCACGCGCTACCATGCCCAGCTAATTTTTTTGTTTATTATAGAGATGAGGTCTTGCCAAGTTGCCCAGACTGACCTTGGACCTGTGGGCTCAGACAATTTTCTCACCTTAGCTTCCCAAAGTGCTGGGATTATAGGCATGAGCCACTGCACCCAGCCCATTGGCTCCAATTTAAAGTCACCAGCTGCATTAGCCCCTAACAAGGGAATCAGTCAGCCCATCCTTTGAAGCTTTGAAGCCAGGCATTGACTTCTCCCCTCTAGTTATAACAGTCCTAGATGGCATCTTCTTCCAAATGAAGGCTATTTCGTCTATATTGAAAATCAGTTGCTCATATCCATCAGTGACCTCAGCCAGATCTCCTGGAGAACTTGCTGCAGCTTTTTCATCAGCTCTTGCTGCTTCACCTACACTTTGATGCTACAGAGATGGCTTATTACCTTAAACCTCATGAAGCAGCCTCTGCTGGCTTCCAGCTTTCTTCTGCGGCATCCTCACCTCTCTCAGCCTTTGTAGAAGAGAGTCAGGGCCTGGCTCTGGATTAGGCTTTGTCTTAAGGGAAGTTTGTGGCCAGTGTTGTCCTCTCTCCCAACCACAGTCTTTCTCCACATCAGCAATAAGTCCGTTTCACTTTCTTATCCCTCGTGTGGTCCCTGGAGCAGCACTTTTAATTTCCTTCAAGAACTTTTCCTTTGCATTACTAACTTGGCTAACTGGTGCAAGAGTCCTAGCTTTTGAGCCATCTTGGCTTTTGACATGCCTTTCTTACTAAGCCTGATCATTTCTAGCTTTTGATTAGCGATATTAGAGATGTGGGGCTTCTCCTTTCACTTGAACACTTAGAGGTCATTATTGGCCTAGTTTCAATATTATTTTGTCTTGGAATGGAGTTACCTCACGGGGGGAAAGAGAGAAGGGAGAATGCCCAGGCTGTGGGCAGTAAGAACACACATTTATTAAGTTCACCATCTTATATGGTGCCATTCATGGCATCCAAAACAGTTACAATAGCAACATCAAAGATCACCGGTCACAGATTATCATGACAGACATGATAATAGTGAAAAAGTCTGAAATATTGTGAGAGTTACCAAAATGTGACATACAGACATGGAATGAGCACCTGCTATTGGAAAAAAAAATGGTGATTACAGACTTATCAACTCATGATTATCAGACATAGTCTGTAAAAAAGTTAACATCTGTGAAACAAAAGTAAAGCAAAGTGCCTTGAAATGAGGCTTGTCTGTATTTGTAGCTAGAGGCACATTTAGAAATAGAATTACTGGATCAAAGGGTGTGCAACTCTCTGTCTCTGACATCCAACCACAGGTGTCGAGGGCTCTTGTGAGGTCAGGTCCATTGGGTCATGCTCTCCAGTGGGAGCCAACTATGCTGGAAAGCAGAAATCACTCACAGGTGTGCAATCTGTCCTCTTCACTGTTTTCATGATCCCATGGGGTATGCACAACAGGGGCAGGGATCATGGAGCACCTTAGTATGCTGCCTTTCATACTCATTTTCTTCAGTGTCCGGGAGACTTTTCTAGAATGTCTAAAATCATTTTTATATTTTCGCGATGATCTCTGATTATTTTCTCAGGTTCTTCCAGGGTCAGTCATCTGCACCTTCACCTTGGTCATTCTCTTCCATATGTTCTTCCCCCCCGAGTCTTGTTGATCATTTTTCAGCAACTTCTGCATTCGCCATGGTGCTGCTCCATCTTGCTAGATGTTCCCCTTGAATAGGAAGGCTGGTGGAGGCCCCTGCGCAGGTGTTATCCCGAGAGATAGGGGTGTGGGAGGTCACATCACGGTCTAGAAGGTGCAGATGACTAAAATCGTCAAGCCGATGGGCGGCTCAGAGAGAATAGGGGTGCTCTGGGCAAGTTTCAGTTCTGCAGCATCATTTTATTCCTTGATATCTACTGTTAAGACGGGAGAATGCAATCAGCTCTGTTGTTTATTCTCAAGCTCTGATAAGCAAACCATTAGCTTTTCCAGGAAAACATTCCTTGGGGGGAGTAGTTTTCTTGGTTTATCTTAGAGACAGCTGCTATCTCTTTAAATACTATGTTGAGAGACAGACAGAGGCATCAAGGTAAGAATTCCTCAAATGGCCTTAAGACTTCTGGGAAAGTAAATGTAGGGGGTAGTGGGGAGGGCAGGGAGACATTCTCTGCCCTGAGCCGTCCATGTGTTTATTTACCAGAGATGACAACTGATACTTTGTCATATCTACCTTTTAAATTACTCAATGACAGGTGACAGATAGTTTGGAGTACTACATTGATGTCAACATTGCCAGAACAATGTGCAAGAAAATTTCTGGAGAAAATAAAGACTGCTTGTTTCAAGAAGATCCTAAAATGAAAAAGGTATGTGTTTAAGAGAAGAGGGGCCGTGGATTTGTGTGCCAGAGAAAACTGGTGAGACCAGTCTGTGTTCTGACCACATCAGGACCTGATGGCTGGGTTCTAGCCATGGGGCACCACTTCTGTTGTCTGTTGCTGATGACACCCCTCCAACACACACACACACACACATGCACACACACACACAAACATGCATGCACAAAGCAGAGTCAGTTCATTGCTGCTCACTCTTCTGTATTTAGGGCTGGGTTCTGCTGACCATGAGTCTGCGACTATCACGTGTACTGGGGCAGGAACGTTCCAACATTACTTGACTCACATGTCAGGTGCCCCAGCTAGGGTGACTAGAAAAACTGGGGACTGGCCAGGCATCTTCCTCATCCTGCCCAGGGACTCTCTGTGGGGCAAACTTGCAGGGTGACCAATCATCTGGGTTTTCTCAGAACTGATGGGTTTCCTGGGATGTGGGCCTTTGTGCTAAAACCAGGGAACTCTTGGGCAAACCAAGGTGAGTTGGTCATCCTACATGTGGGCATCCTCAAAGCATGTTGCTCCCAAGGGAGTCAGGCTTCTTAATGAACTCCTAAGAGGAGAAAGCAGAAGCTACCATTGGTGCTGGCAGAGAAGGAATTGGTGACAGCCACCCTGATGCACTGTCTATGCTGGCACTGTATGTCGAAGATCGTTGACCCAGTGGAACTCATGGTGTGACCTCCCCACACGGCTCTCCCTAAAAGGGAATCCCTTTCCTGCCAGGACTCTATGAGCATGGACTATGAGCAGGGAACATCAGAGGCATTCTTCTCAGCTGACTGATAGTCCAGCTGCTGGGCGGAAGTCCTGGGAGGCTCTAGGACAGTCTGAGGCTCCAGCCCCAGTGCCTCTGTGCTCCTGGTAGTCTCAGATTCAGGCTGCTACTGCTTTGGGCCAGGGATGAGGGACAGCCCCAGTTGGATGAGGGTATAGCCAGGGCCTGTGCCCAGATGGGGGTGTCACAAGGGACCAACTTGTCACAGGGGGCAGCCTTAATCAAACACGTCCTTACTCACCTCATAGTTGAGTGACAGGAATACATTTTATTAAAAATATTTTCTTAATGTGTCAGCATTTTAATGTGCCTAGTCACTAAGTACCATTGCAACCAGAAAATTAAATATACATTTAAAGGTCAATTTGGTTCACATTTTAATGGTTGACAACATTTAAAGCTAATGCTTAGACATTTCAAGATTGTTAAACATTAGTGTAACAAGCTCTCCCTGAAACAGTTGAGCTATATTATTATCTTTTTAAGTTCACATAATTCTTTTGCTAGAGAGTTTTAGATTGACATAATAGCTGAACATATAATACACCCATTTACAGGAATACATTTTAGATTTAAATGGAATCTTTTTAAGGTACATAAATATTTTCTAAAAGTGCTTTCTCACTTCTGTACGTGATTAAGAGTGAGGTCTCGCTTCACTGGGCCCTGTGATGATGTCCCAACGCCATCCTTGGCCCAGGAGTCACCTCTGGGATCATTTGGATGGAAAGCCTCAAGACAGCTTCGGGACAGATTTACATGGACAGGCATAGCCTTTCTTTTTTTTCCTTTGTTATTTTAAACTGCTGGTACAGTGTGTATTTTTTATGTGACTTCCTTTTTTTCACATCTTAGTAGTCTTCCCATACAAGTTATTTCTAGCGTTTCGCTTTCATAAATGAAACTGCATTGAAAATCCTTGTATGTGTATATTTCTGCATCTTGTGTACTTTTTAACCTATTTAGTAAATACCTAAAGCAGGCACAAGACTATGGATAAAAGAAAATAATGGACAATAAATAGTTGCCAAAAATTGCCCAGATGCACTCCAGTGAAAATACCTTCACATTTTCATGAACAGTAGACACCATGGCAGGATGCCAGGTGCATGTAGGTGGCTACTAGACAGAGAACTAGAAATGGCTTCAAATTAAGCAATATTTCAAAAATTCAAGTAGGTAATAAGAATGATACATTAAATGCCCATGTTCCTACCACCCAGATCTTACAACCATTATCATCTTATTACATTCATTTTGAATATTTATTTATTTGTTTTTGAGTTGGAGTCTCGCTCTTGTTGCCCAAGCTGGAGTGCAGTGGCATGCTCATGGCCACCACAGCTTCGACCTGCTGGGCTCCAGCAATCCTTCCTCCTTAGCCTTCCAATCAGCTGGCACTTTAGACTCACTCCACCATGCCCGACTAGTTTTTGTGATTTATTGTAGAGACGAGGTCTCACCAAGTTGCCCGGGCTGGTCTCAAATCCTGGGCTCAGGCAATCCCTCTCGCCTCGGCCTCCCAAAGTCCTGGAATGAGTCACTGTGCTCAACCTAAATATTTATTTTTAAAGGTAACTTTTGTGTATATGTAAGGCATATGACACAATGTTATAGGGTCCATATAGATAGTAAAATAGTACCCCAGTGAAGTAGGTTAACCTATCTGTCATCTCACACGGTTATCCATTTTGTTTGTTTTGGTGGCATGAGCAGCTAAATTTAGTTGTTTAGCAGAAATCTCCACTCCAGTGTAATTGTTTGCACTGTGGACCTGGTGATGTACTTAGACTACAGACTTCCTCATCTTTATCTGCCAGTTTGTAACTTCTCATTGGCCTCTCCCATGACCCCAGTCCCATATAACCACTGTTTCATTCTCCATCTCTGTACATTTGGCTCTTCCTTTTTAAAGACTCCACATGTGAGGGAGATAATGTAATATCTTTTCTTTCTGTGTCTGGCTTGTTTTGCTCAGCATAATTGTCCTCCAGCTTCATCCGTATTGTAGCGAGTGGCAGGATCTTCTTTTTAAGGCTGAATAATATTCCATGGTGTGTGTGTACCACAATTTCATTCTCCATTCATCCGTGGGTGGACACTTAGATTGCTTCCACATCTTGGTTGTTGTGGCTAGTGCTACAGTGAACATGGGAGTGCAGGCATCTTTACAAAGTGGTGATTTTATTTCCAGAAGGGTTGCTGAGTCCTATTGGCAGTTTTCTATTTTCATTTTCTTTAGGAACTGCCACACTGTTCTCCACAATGGCTCCCCCATTCTGCATCGCCACCAACCATGCACGAGGCTTTCCTCTCTTCCAGCCCCTGCCAATGTTTGTTGTCTCTTGACTTTTTGGTAGTAGCCATACTAACGGGTGTTATTAAATATTTACTTTAACATGTAAAATGTTGCACGTCCATTCCACTCCCCCACCTAAGATAACTGCTCTTTTGTAAAATTAGTAACATTCCTACCTGGGTTTTAAAATTTTACCTATGTATGTAGAATTTTGTGTGCTTTTCAAAATTTACATAAGTTTTGTGACTTTCTCTTATTTTTTTTTTCACTCAACAGTATGCGCTGGGGTTTGTTCATGTTGGTGCAATCTATTATTACTTGTGTATGCCAAATGATTTCTTGGACCAGTTGCTGTATATACAAATTGGCCCCACATTTTTTTCATTACTGTATAGGAAACTGTTATATGACTTTATAACATTGAATTTAGCCATTTCCCTATTTGAGATACTCTTCGCTGTTTTCACGTTTCATTTTTAGCAGCAAGGCTGAAGATCCTGGCACATGACCTCTGTGCCAAGGGCAAGAATCCCCCCAGGGATGATGTTGGGGTAGGGCAGCTGCATTGCGAGCCACGTGCAGCCTCCACGTCAGTGTGCAGGCCACAGGTGATGTACAGCCTCACAGGCCCTCTCCCAAGCCATAAAGCTAGCACAGCTTCCCACAGTGGTGTGCGCAGCTGTTCATTTCCCCTTAACCTTGCCAGTGCATGGGAGCAGGGGCCTTACATTGCTCCAGTCTGACGTGTGAAATGCCATCTCCTCACCACTTCACCTTGCACCTCCTTCATTTCCAGCAAAGTGAGATGTTTTAACACCCCAGGCTTCACTGCTGGACCTTGCCTTTTAGTATTTTTTTCCCTGGAGCAGTTGGATGGAGCAGTTGGATGGTCCCTAGGAGCCGTGGCCCTAGGTGGAGGAACGCAGCCCGCCTGTGGCCCCGAACTCACTCTCCTCCTGCTCCCACTTTCCTGCTTTTATCTTCCCCTGGCCAAATGCACCTGACACCAGAGGGTGCCCAATGACAGAGTCCATGGACGTCAGAGGGCAAGGGTGCCCATTGGTGTAGTCGTGGAGGTCAGAGAGCAAGGATGCCCATTGGTGTAGTCATGGAGGTCAGAGGGCAAGGGTGCCCTGCAGGACTGGATCATTCTCAGGGGCTGTCAGGGTGGCTGGTGTCCTATTTCTCTCTCAAGCATTTCCTACATCTTTATGTCTACACAACTCCACCTCTACTTGACTCTGTCACTCATGCTTACACTGATGTCACAGAGGTATTCTAAGCTTGTATTTTTATTCTAATTGAAGGAACGTTTTCAGAGCAAAAGCAAAGGGGAGTTGTGTTTTTATTCCTATGTGGTGAGCCTGAAGACCTGGACTTGTAACAAGAGCTGTGTGTCTCCTCTTGGTTTTCCTACTGTTCGCTTTTCTTCTTGGTCACTAGATGTGACCCCTCTCCCAGAAATGTGCATGACCTGGTACTATCCTTGTGATGTTGCCTTCCCTCGGTGGGACCTCCCAGCCCTCCATGCAGTGGGTAGTGCCGTGGCCAGATGAGGGTCAGAGCTGGAGGTGGGGACTTCCTAAGGATGACCGGTCCCTGGGCTCTGTGTTCTCCTGGCATGAATGAAATCCATGATGGCTCAGAGCATGGGGCAGACCCATGATGGTCCATCCTGGTACAGGGCTGACTCTTCTGCTGTCAGTTCCAGTCCATGGCTCTGGACTCACCAGGCAGCCTCCTGGCCCTCCTGCAGCTAACGCCTGGGAGCTGGACACTTCTCTGGTTTCGTTTTTCTTTCTCCTTTTTCTTTTATACACACTGACTATTCTTTTTATCTCTTTTAGATGGTTTTTTGTACCTTTATTGTTGCATCCAAACCATGGAAATTAGAACTCACTATGCTGAAGAAGGAATGCAGAGATATATAGCTGTCTTCTGGCACGTTCTGCCACGCTCACTTCCATTCAGAAGAAGCAAAGACACTTGCAAAACATGAAAACAATGCAATGACCATGGACGTGTGTTGTGTGGCCTTGGTGTTTTTCTGTGCATTTGGGGGCTGGTGCTGAGCGTGGGCGGGGGGTTTCAACAGCGTCATGCAGCCTCTTCACCGCTGCCTCAGCCACTGGCAGGGGCAGTTTGCTGCCAAAAAATGGAAGCCATTTCCATGCTTCATGAGACTCTGAGTGCACCGACAGCTCCTTCTGGATAACCAACCCAGGACCGGGCCTCCGTGGCTTCACATATGCTGCGCTTTCTGTAAGGCTCTGGAGGTCCGGCTGCCTTAAGAGTTTCCATCTGTGGACCTGCACAGGAGTCTCCCATCCCAGGACTTCTGGGAAGACACGGCCCACTGACTTGGAAACAGCTGCCATTAATTCCCAGCTCCAGCCATAGAGACAGCTGGGCCATTTGGAGAATTGTGTTGGCTTTGAGTTGAGGCAGAAACAACACAAGGTCATGGTGCATGGAGAGAAGGCTGCAATGTGTGTGTGTGTGTGTGTGTGTGTGTGTGTGTGTGTGTGTGTGTGTGTGTGTGTGTATGAGTGTGTGTTCACAGTTGAATGTAGTAGCTATCTAATGCTGCATAATAAATCACCTGGCCACTGAGTGGCTTAAGCCCTTTATTCATATATCTCTTTGTGTCTGTGAGCCAGGAATCCGAGGTGGCCAGGCCAGGTGGTTGTGGATGTCACCACTCATGTGGCTACACTCAGACCATGGTGGCGCTGCCATTATCAGAAGGTATGATGGCCTCTGGAGAGTCCATTTCCAAAGTTGCTCACTCCTGTGGCTACTGCTTGGCAGAGGCTGTTGACAAGAGGTCACATGGGCTCTCTACAGGGCTGCACGTGAGCTTGGTGTCATGGTTTACTTCCTCCAGGCAGAGTGTTCCAAGAGAACAAGGTGGGAGCCACCATCCCTTGTGACCTAGCTTCAACCCAGACCAATCCTGGCTCAGAATGGGGAGGACTCTACAAGGGCAGGGAGACTGGAGTTGAGGGTCATCAGGGGCCACCCTGAGGACTAGTCACTGCAGTGTGTGTGTGCACTCATACATGCATCTATGCACATGTGTATGCATCTATTTGTATGTATACACGTGTGCACATCTGTGTGCATGAGTGTGCATTGTGTACATGTGTGTACGTGTGTGTGCATATGTATGCGGGGTGGGGTGGGCTGAGGTGATGAAGGGGGACAACATGGCCGTAAAGAAACACTTTCAGACACCCAGCTGTGGAGACAACAGCAGGGTCTGCAGGTGGGGCCAGTAGACAACAGTGTATGATAGCAATAGCACAGTGTCAGGTCCTAACAGACGCATGAGAGAGACCATGACACTCAGAGGCCACCTGGGCAGAAGCAGTGCTGGAGGGTTCTTCTCTGTCAATGCCCATTGTACCTGTCTGAGCCTCTTGACTGAGGACTTTCTTTGTCACTCAGGAGCAGGCTGGAGTGCTGGGCTGGTGCTTCTAGGGGGAGCCCTGAGTCAGTGTCAGAAATTGGAAGACAAACATGCTGATCGTGGGCCCCTGGAAGGTGATGCTGAACTGTGACACCTGGTCCCTCAGAGGAACCCCGCAAAACTGAGACCTGGCTGCTCACGGTGCTGAGCTGCTCACTGTTGTGTACGACTCCCTCCCTGTCTCCACTCCCCACTTCCCTTCCGGATCACCTCTAAATAAGCCACCTGCACTTGAATGTTTGTCTCAAGGTTGAGCCAGTGGAGCCCAGGTCCCCTGTGAGGGGCAGTCTGGGGCCCATGGGGGCGACCCTGGCTGAGGTTTGGCAGGAGGACACCTTTCACCTTGACCATGGAAAAGCCATGAACAGCCAAAATAAAAACGTTTATTCTGAGCCAGTATGAGTGACGTGGCCTGGGGAAGTAGTTTCAAGAGGTCCTGAGCAAGTGCACCCAAGTGGTCATGTTACAGATTGGCTTTATACATTCCAGGGAGACAGGAATTGCAAGTGAAATCATAATACAGGAAAAGTATACATTGGTTTGGCCCCAAAAGGCAGGACATCTGGAAGTCACAGGTGGATTTAGGGAGTCTGTAACTGGCAACTGGTAAAAAAAGTTATTGTTTAAAAGTTGGAGTCAGTAAAGAGGAATGCTCAAGGTGAGGGGGTCTCCTCTCTGTCATGTGGTGCCAGACCAGAGTCAGGAAAGGAAGCCACAGTGTACTGGGTCAGAAAGGACCTGTTGGGCAAGCTTTTATGGTCTGTAAGGTTTGACTCTCCAAGGCCTCTTAGGAATTTGAATAAGAACAAAAAGTCAGGGTTCAGTCCTCATCCTGCTCTCCCTCACTCAGCTAGCAGCTGTGCTCTGGGGGGCAGGCATAGTGGCCCTCTTCCATCCTGGCCCCCCTCCTCTCCTGTGTGCTTGCAGAGTTGTGGGGACACTATCATAGCCGCTTTTTTTTTTTGAGTTGGGATCTCACTCTGTCACCCAGGCTGGAGTGCAGTGGCACAATTGTGGCTCACCATAGCCTCGACCTCCTAGACTCAAGTGATTCTTCTGCTTCATCCTCCACATGCCAACATGCCCAGCTAATGTTTTTGAATTTTTGCAGAGATGAGGTCTCCCTATATTGCTCAGGCTAGTCTTGAACTCCTGGGCTCAAGTGATCCTCCTGCCTCAGCCTCTGCATGACAACATACCCAGCTGATGCTTTGAATTTTTATAGAGATGAGGTCTCACCATATTGCTCAGGCTGGTCTTAAACTCCTGGGCTCAAATGATCCTCCTGCCTCAGCCTCCACATGCCAACATGCCCAGCTAAAGTTTTGCATTTTTGTAGAGATAAGGTCTCACTATATTGACCAGGCTGGTCTTGAACTCCTGGACTCAAACAATCCTCCTGTCTCAGTCTCTACATGCCAACATGCCCAGCTAATATTTTAAATTTTTGTAAAGATGAGTTCTTGCTATATTGCCCAGGCTGATCTTAAACTCCTGAGCTCAAATGACCCTCCTGCTTCAGCCTCTGCATGCCAACATGCCCAACTTATGTTTTGAATTTTTGTAGAGATGGGGTCTCGCTATATTAACCAGGCTGGTCTTGAACTCCTGGACTTAAGAGATACTTCTGTCTTGGTCTCCCAAAGCGCTGGGATGACAGGCATGAGCCACCATGCCTGGTCATGTTTTTTCTCTTGCCTTGGGATGGGGCTTGCTGTGCTGCTTTTTGTGACTCCCAGAGACAGCCCTCTTCCCACACATGCCTTCAGCAGCCAGCACCATGGGTGTGCAGCCTTTGCTCCTAGGACATGCTCTCTCTCCAGTGCTCCTGGCCAACCCTACTGGGTGCCTTAAGCAGCCCACGAGGAGGCATTTCCTGATGGGCCTCGACTGTGGTTGGAGCTCTTGAGGGCTCCGGGTAGTCACATGCCCGGGCTGCTTGCTTCCATAGTACCCATGATACTTACTGTTTGTCTTGGGATCAACCAAACCCAGGTGCCCCCATCTAAGGTCAGCTGGGTTGCATGAGCCGTGCATTGGTTCAAGTTTGTTTAATTCTTCACAACCACCTGGTCTTTGATGACCCACTAAGTCACAGTCAGGGTGGAGGTTCAGGAGCAAGAAGGTTCTATTGACTCGTGATATTTCTGAGCTTTTACTGACTGGCAGCTGGCAACGTTTTTGTGTGAGCCTGAAGGAAAATGGAATGTGTGAACAGAGGTTCCCGAGGCGTTGGCCCCTTTCTCTACCACGGTCATGTTAACCTCAGTTACATTGGAGCAGATACAGCTGCTGGGATGCCAATGCCCATCCTTCGCCCTCTCAAAAAAGACCTTGCACTTCAGGTGGCAGCAAGGATGACACAAGGTATGCTTTGCCACCATGCCACTCTTTTTCCTTGGCTTATGAATAATTTTGGAAAAGGGAAAGGATAGAGTCAAAAATTCACCTTACAAAGCAGAGAATGTTCCTGTTGTGGATTGCATATGTCGCCTCCAGAATTCAGATGTTGTCCAAGTTGATGGAATTAAGAGGTGCAGTCTTAAAGAAATGATTAGGCCATGAGGGCTTCTCTCTCATGGGGATGCTTAAGGACCCTGTGAAAGAGGCTTCAGGGGGCCTTCTGACATGTCTTGTCCTGCTACCTTCTACCATGTGAGGACATTGCAAGGAGGCCCTCAACACCTTGGCTCCCAGACTCCAGAGCGGCGGAAAATAGACTTCTGTTCCTTATGCTCAGTCCATGATATTCTGTTGTAGAACCATGAACGAACTAACACAGTTTCTTTCCTGGGGTTCAAGAGGGACCAGGGAAGAGCCAGAACTCTGACTCCACAAGATGTATGGGGCCACGAGGGAGTCTGAGTCTTGGGACTTGCAGTGCAGATTTGAAACAGTTAACCTCTTCCTAGACCACACAGGGCCAGGAGCACGACTGAGTGGGTGGATAGGGGGTCCCAGCAAAGGTCTCCCGACAGCCCCTCCTCCTCTCCAGACTCCACCCCATCTGCCTCCCTTTGCCTCAAGCAGAGAGACTTGGGGAGTCTACAGAGAACCTCTCAACATGATTGTGGACCAGCCCCTTTCCCTGTGACATTGTCACCTGTTCTGTTGTAAGCCCAAGTCCATGTGCAATTTGCATTCATAACCTTGTAGCTTCGTGAAGGATGGGTCCTTGACCTTCGTGTGACTTCATCTGCATGGCTGTGGATGCTCCCAGCCAATGTCCAGGCATGCACCATGTGCCTCTTGCTGTAAGGACAGTCTTGTCCTCGCCCTCGGAGCAGTGATGTTGTGTGAGAGCGAATCACAGCTATGGCCAGGAGCCACGAATTCCTGGTCATAGCTGTGATTCTCCTACATGGGTTCATCCACCTTTGTCCACCGTGGAGAGACACACGATGATTCAGAAAGGACAATGGACGCAACCTGAGGGTCAGGAGACACAAGACAAGGCGT